TGAAAATTTTTGATTCATTGAGATGCATGTTTTGAATTCCAAAGCCAGTGAAAAAGGATAAAAGATTAAGAGATTCACATAGTTTAAATAGAGTTTTTTTTCTATTTAGAAATATTTCTGAAATAAATCTCAATTGTGATTTGATAGCTGGGATGCTGATTTGACTGCAATGTCTTAAATATTATTGGATTTATTCTTATTGTGGAAAAAAGTGCATTATTTAACCTTTATTTAATCGGTTTGCATATTTATCAATATATACATATATGAAGGTATTATTGGAGGACCACGTATATTCGTATTAGGCTACTTTTATACGAATTACTTCTTCCTTGTTCGTTCTTATCATTTGATTTTTTTTAATTCCTCTGCATTTGACACTTGTAACATCTTCAAAATTCTCAATTAATCATCAAAAAAAACGAAAAGAAAACCATTTCAGATCACCACATATATTATGTGCATTATTGTACCATAATCACCTTCCAAATCGGTATGAGTTCTCATTGTATTACTACAATCAGTGCTGCATATTCTGTCATTTAAGGTGTCTTTTATTTCCTCAGGAATATTGCTTTGTACTCGAAGTAAGGACCACACTTAAGTGCTAGTTTTTATTATCATTTTAATTTTATTTGTTATTGGGTTCTAACTAATGTAAATCTGTCTATGAACTAAATGAATATAACAGCTAATGTTATAAGCTTATCTGTTATGGCCAATGTCCAGCTATCACCGCATTTTATTTTACAAAGAGCCTTGTTGTACTAGACAGTGGGACAATTTTGATGATCGTTCTCATATTCTGTTGTAGTTAAGCATCGTATATCTGTCCCACTGGACTCTTCTGCATTGTTGTTTAGATTGCAAATGCTGAGCACAAGCTCAGGATTAACGAAGCTCTGTTTCTTATTACTTTACTTCATTATTGATGTTGTTATTATTGTTTTAAAAATATTAGCTGCTACTATTAATTACAATTTTATAATCATCTATCTGATTTATGAATATAAATTTAATATATTTGTGTTATGAACTGTAGAATTTTGTTTACACTGTTGTGTTAGTAACAATAATTTATCCGGCTTATACGAATAACGTCGAAACACAAAATATCTTATGTAAAATAACATATGAATAGTTCGATGATAACATATATAAAAAGCAGCTGTTCCACTTTTGGATCTTTTGCCCGATACCAAATCCTGAAATTTTATGTAACTTAATTTTCCAACATACTTTACTTGTCGGTGTTTGGTACAATCTTATTTGCTTTCTCACAGATTTAGAATTAAGTGGTGTGCAGAAACGCCATAAATTTCATTTTATTGTCCGTATGATCTGCCAAGAGTTCTCATACATTTAAATGAAATTCGATACAATGATAAGTACGATAAATACGAGGAAATGAAGAAGGGACTTGAGAAATGCTAGCTTTAAACACCATATCGATGATACAGTTATGCCGGAAGCATTGACTATAAGAGCTTTATTCAGTTGTTAGTAAATGAAAACAGTATGGGCTGTTTACAATAAAATTTATTCTCTTAGCGGACTAGCGCTATCAATGCTCGCTTACTACATTACGTTCATGTAAACATATATTTCACATTCGTATAATTACAATCAGTTTAGAAGGTAGATGTATCCAAACTTTTTCATTGTTTTTTTCCTTTTCATTGTAGAGTATTAAAAACTTCGAAATATTCAATTTACCACTGAATCGTTTTTCGTCTTTGCTCCTTCCATTTCAATTTTCAATTTTGATCATTGTGCATTTATCAAACAAAGATGTGTGTGTGCGTTGAAAGTCCCGGTATTCATTTCGGTTTGTTACTTCTATCTGTAAAATACAACAATGTATTACTGGTAGTGATAATGTCTAAGTTATATTCTCGAGAAAATTTGTATTATTGTCATTTCCGTGCATAACATTACATAATGATGAAATACTTTAATGAAAGTTTTCAAATCGATAAAAATAGAAATTTAAAATACTTTAAGTGATTCACAGGATCAAAATGATGATATCTCTGAGATGAGACTATTAAATGATAATTAATTAGAAGTGGAAAATTCCAGATAATTTATTGTAGTATAAAAGATTATCCATAAAAGTGTAAGCGTTGAAATAANAAGCGTTGAAAGCTTATCCAATAGTTGATCAGATAAACGATGCAAGGCTAGCATCAAATTTTGAGTCCATTTCTGGAATTCCATTTGTAGCATCCATTCAACAAATGCATGTATTGTTATCCATTTTCGAATTGGCAGTAATAATTATATAGTCCTATCGATTCTACCGAAAATCAATAAAATTTTGAAACAATAAAAACGGATAGAAAGATGAATAAATATTTTGTTGCAAACATCAATGATAAGTAATAGGACCGTTTTTCGTTGCAATGTCTCACAGTAAAGAAATAAATATGAAACAAAGTTTGCTTAATCAATTACAACAGAGCAAATTGGCATATTTAAAATAGGTGTTATATTAAAGATGGAAAGCCTTTTGTTGAATATTGCCATACCATTTAAAATTCATCAAATACACTGCCTAGAGTGAAGATCACAAGCGTTTTTTTAGCTTTTCAAAGTCTGAATTGTATTTTAATCCTTGTTTAATGATAATAATTTGGTAGTAGCGATAACATTTCAGTTTCAGGCAGTACGAATAATCAAATGTATTTTAGCAGGGTGATTCATGCGGAATCAGTCATTGATACGTGTGTCAGTTTAAAAATAAGTTGATCTTAAATTAAAATGATTTCGGTCATTTCACCTAGTTATTCTATAGATAAGTTGTGGATAAATTATAAAGTGTTAATTTACTTTGAACAAACATGCCAAAGAATTGGTAAATCAATTAAATGAATAAAACTAACCATGGCAATTATCAATTAAACGAATAAAACTAACCATGGCAATTATTTGGAAAAATTTAAGTTTGGTAAATTCCATCCATATATCAATATTTGGATGAAAAAGTTACAAATATCGGTCATTGCGAGTATTTCTCACCAATCATTTACACTTTCACAATATTTTAGCTATTCATTCACTTTCAATTTTCCTCAATTTACTAATTCTCTATAATTTTCACTTTTTCACTTCTCTATGGAATATTCAAATGTGACCAATTATTTTGCAATAATCGTTTGAAATACTCCGTATCTTATTAATTACTCGTCCTTTGTAAGCCAGTTTTTTAATTATATTTAATCGCCCAATTAATGGATCGATTCGTTCATAAGTTTCAGACTAACTCACATAATATTCTCAGTTTTTCTGCTAACATTATTGATTTACTCATATTATCACTAACTTTAAACAACAAATAGCTGTTTGTATACAATCAATACAATTATAAGTGAAATAATAGTAATTAGTAATAATAACAACAATAATAACGACAATAATATCAACAATAATAATACCAGCAATCATAACAATAACAGCAAATAATAGCAACAATAGCAATAATAACAATAATATTACTAATTACAATAAATATAATAATTATGATGATTATAATAATAATAATTATTATTAATAATTGTAATTAATTGTAATTGATAATAATAATTAGTAATAATAATAGTAATTGATAATAACAGTAATAACTAATAATAATTAATGATGGAATTATTAAAAATAACAATAATCAATAATAATAATAACAATCAATAATAGTGATAATTAATAATAATGATAATAATTAATAATAATTAATCAGTAATAATAACAATTAATAATAATAATAAATAATAATGATTGATAATAATGATATTTAAAATAATAAATAATAACAAAAATAAAAAATAATAATAATACACAATAAATAATAACAAGGATTCCTTACTTGTTTTTTACTTATTTCTTTTATTATTTGTTGGAAACTTATGAAATGAAATGTTAGCAGATAAGTAGTGGCTTTTATGATTTTGCAATCACTCGAATAGCATTCAATGATTAGGCATAACCATATTTTCATGATAATGTAACTTCATGGCAGATTTTATAGAAGCTACTCACGACATAATCATTTTAGACCGTCTAGTCATAGCAAGTTGTTACATACATCACTATTTTTCTAGCATTCTGACATATTTGCTATTCTGCTTTTCGAGGCTTTTATCTAGGTTTTGCAAAAGGTCTTCGACATACCTTACAGTTTAATGACACTCATTTATGGTTGATGAAATATGATTTGAAATCTCTGCATCGTGAATAAGAAGCAAAATTTCAAAGTCCTAGATGAAATGTGTATAATTAGTATTTTTAATCGATTGCTTTTAAAGCTGTGTTCTCACTCCGTGCAATAATATGTGTAAGTAAATTTAAAGTTGCAAAAATGAATTCATATCTATTTTTCTATAATATCGTAATAAATTTTTAAGATTTAATCAATTTTGATGCGAAACTGTCGTATTCCTGATATGAATAAGCGTAGTTGCTTAATTTTTTTAATTACTGCTGAAAAAGAAGAAAAATCGCAATATATCCCCTAATATAATCTCGTAATCAACTTTTCTTCATTATATCGAAAACAATAGCCGATTACTTAGCCAATTAAATGGACTAAATCTCAAGTGAACATTCTTCTGGAAAACAATTCTTGGCTATATTCAACATATAATTAAGTTTATAACTTTGATATGTATGATACGGAATATTTGCGGGATTTAAGTAGTATTCTTGTTTTTTTTTGTATTAACATTATCGAAATTGCATTTCGAAACTTTGATTCTATTCAATTTGAAGCTTGCACAATTAAAATCAAAATACGTAATATTTTATAGCACTACTATTAATTGAATCAAAATTGAAGAATGCGCACGGCAAAGAAGGTACGTATTGTGGACGGTGATATTGTGCAAAAAGAAGAACAAATAAATTTGCAAGAACAAATAAATTTTAATGGCCATATAAAATGGATTTTATTTGCTTTTGCACTATTACTTATTGTACTTGCTATTATCATTGTACCAGTTATAGTAACAATAATTCAAAGTTATCACCATCGTTCTGACGAGAATGAATTCGGTTGAAGTTTCTGTTCTTTTCAGTCTAACAAATCAATAAACATGCTGATAATTTCAGTATTAATTGGCGAAGAATATTAGAATAAAGTGTTATTCTCTAAATTTTAACAACTAACATCTTTAGTACTAATTTCTGATGCAGCAAGTCACTTTTCGTCAGTGTTTTTTCGTCTTTTTCGCCGCTATTTTCCCTTTTCTCTTTCGTTGGGTAAAGTTTCGAAATACTGTCAAGTAATATTTGACAATAATATAATGTTTGAAAGGGCAAAATGGCAGAAAATTGGTAAAGTTAAAATAAGAAGTAAAAATACGCCATTCTATTATTTGTCATAATGGATGTGAACTTCAATTTTTAGAAGTGACAACAAGTGGAATAGAAATCACAAAAACAAAGCCTACCGAAATTATCGTTTTAACGGTGAGTACAGCTGAAGGGAAAAAGCAAAAGGAGAATGAAACTCATGGAAAACTATATAGAGTAAGTGATTACTTTTCAAAGATTTCATATCGGCAAGTCAATCAACTATAAAATAATTTGAATCGAATAGAATTGAATTAGAATGGATCGAAATGAAAGAATTGAAATGCAGTAATTTTTTTAGGATAAAGTATTGGAAATCGCTAACGAAATAGTAAAAAGGAATGATAATCCCTGTGCAACATATGTCATCGAGGAATTCAGTGACAAAGCAACTTTTAGCAAGTTGCTATCGAAGGCAGAAGTTGTTGGCGAATTAGAAAAGACTTTTAATGATGTGAAATCTACTGGCGACATTAGCGTTACGGAGTAATCATATATCATCTTTTTTTGTTTTATAAAGTGATGAGATGTTGTAAGTAATTGAAATTCTTAGAATTTTGAAAATTTCAATTTGGTTTAAATGCCTCTTAAAAAATAAAATTTTTTTAGCGCAATTGAATCATTTTGCAAAATCCCGTGGGCATCACAAACTGCAAACATATTATTTGTTCCGGATGAGGGCATGTACAGGTCGAATTATCATTTAACCTTTTATAAAAAGAATGGAATCATTTTTTCCTAATGAACTTGATTATTTCTTATCACTATTATCGTCTATGTTCTCTACATCATTAGATTCGTTCCAAGTTATTTTCAAATACAATAAGTTTTTTCCTCGTCCGCACTCTGAAGTATGCAAGCATTGTCGCCCTTCAAAAGTTAACTAGATTAACTTTCAGAAACCAGAAAATTTTCAAAAATGATATGAAGTCAGCGAAAAATTTACTGAAGCGGATGACAACCGGAAATCGAACCGGTGCACCTCGTGTTATTATCGGTGATCCAACGTATTTCCGGAACATTGACAGAACGGTGAGCACGTATTCCCCGGATATGAATGTTAATGAATTAACAAATGCCATTTTACTCGGTTTGTTATACAACAAATTACTTCAAGAATGTTTATTATGATCTTTATCAGCATAATTACTTAGACATTTCCATAGATTTTATGTTTTCTAGATTAACTACGCACAAAATATTCAAATTCTCAAAAAAGCTTGCAGTTTATTGACAAAATTCCAAAAAAAAAAGCTTACAATTTATTGACTTTTCTTATTTTCACAATATACCGAAATTCCGAGTACTTTTCAAACTTCGAAATTTCATATTGTTTTAGAAATTTTGTGTTCATTATATATAGAAGTAAAAATTTGCATAATTTTGTCTGCCTTTATTTTTTCAGCATTACAAGCGAAAGAATTTACAACGCCGGAAGGTTTGTTCACTTCAACTATTTCAGTCAACCAAGATGGAACAGCACTTCCCAATGGATCTGAAACTCACTTTACACGTTCCTGGATTAAAACTGATACTCAAGAAAAACAAATATCAACACTTAGTATCGTAAATATTGATTCAACTACATCTTCATCCAATCAGCCGGTGACAGTAATTAAACCTATGAAATGTACATTAACCGGAACATTTGTAAGTCCTTCGAAACATCAAAACTAGCTTGCCACTGTGATCAGAATTATGTCTCCTTTATAAGGTATTAAATAGACGTAGATCTGAAAGTGAAACTGTAATCGGGAATTTACCAGTTAATCAATTTTTATGATCGTTGCTTCTTTTCATCAGCTTCATCTGAAGTGTTCTATTCATATAAGTTATCTATTTTATAGAAAAATCATACCTCAGAAGGACAAAAGATTTCAAGCAGCTACTCCAATTGTACTCTTAAAATGACATTGGACAACAACACAGTAGAAATCAACAAAATAAGTTGCACATGAGGAAAACCTCTCCTCTTTTTTTCAATGGCGCACGAAATTCTCATGTATTAATTCGTTTTCTTTGTGATTAAGATAATAGAATCAAATATATCCTGTGATAGTTCTTATCGGATGAATTCCCATTCGTTAATGAAATAAAAAGTAATGCATCCGGTTTTTATCAGTATTTTAACAACAATTTTTCCGATATGATTGCAATAGAAAGCAATTGTAATATTTCTGCAGTCAAACAATGTGAACATTACATAATTTTTAATTCAAAAAAAGAAATTATGATCATAGATATCTATTTCTCTTTTCGATGTTGAAACATTTGAAAAAATAATAGAATTTATATGGCAAGTTGTGATAAATTGTGCTGATAGTCAGTTTTCATCCTTTTATCATCGCCCCTTCCTTTCATGTTTATTTGTTTATTTTTAACATATCATTCATTCTGATATATCATTTACACTTGCCAGTTTAGTTAATTATTAATCATGTACGATTTCTATTTTGTTCATTTAGAAATTTCAACCCATTTTTTCTATGTGTTGTCAGTTGACGTGGTTGTCAAATAAACTCCTATTATTTTCTTGTTCATTCTTACAGTCATTTCGTCCATCCTACAGAAATTTGTAATGAATATTTTGGCTGGAAAATATGAAAATGAATGAAATGATAATTCTCCAATGCTTGTTTTAATAAGTAAATTAGTTAAATGAAGGAAAAAGGAATTTATGAAATCTTAGGTTACTGGCAGAGAGTTCGAATTAGCTAATTTCAAGATGGAAATGTTTTCTGATATCGTTAATGAATAGTTTGAATATAATTATTGATAATTTATGATTTGAATGAATTATTATTTCTTTTTTTCTTTTCTTTTAATGGATTATTATTCCAACAACAAATGTTAAAAAACTTTTAATCATTTCAAATACAATATTTAGTAGTAACAATTGTTTCATATTTTAAAAATTACTCAAAAAAAATTCATATTTTAAAAATTACTCAGAATGGAAGAATATTTGCTTTTTCTTCTTATAAGATTGTTGATTCATATTTTGATAAGATCAATCCTTCAATCCACCCACCCCTGTGATACTATAAATTGAAATTATTAGGAGTTATTCATCTCCTAAATTAATCATCAAGACAATTTGTTTTAAGTTGTTTAAATTTTCGAAATTAACAACTCATCAGCAAAATAAGTTTCTATTTCAACTATAGCAGAATTATTGAAATTTTATTCATATATCGTTACAATAAGCGGAAATGTATCCAAAAGTTTTACTGATCATATTGTTTTGCTGCTGTTTGCATGATTACAAGTCGAATAAACTCCAATTAAAAGAAAGAGTGATATAGAGAAAGATTCTCTGCTCAAATAATTTCTCGCCCAGCTTCCTTCCTCCAAAGGTTGCAAACTATCAACTGATCTTTTCGAATCCGATCACTGATTAGCTAATCATTCATTCCATTATTTCGGTAATGATGGATTTATTGGTAATTCTTATTCTTCAACATAAACTTGAATCTGCTAAGTTATCCCTCTTGTACAGTTCATTTATCATTATTATTCATTCCTATCACTATCATTTGAGTTTGATATTATCAATTTCCTGTTATGATTAATATCATTTTTCATTTCTTACATTATTGGTGTAGATTTTGTCATTTTGCCACAATCATAAAATTACTTAATATTTGTTAAATTTCATCATTTAATTCATTGTTAACGTTTATCATTTCCATGTCGGTATGCCAACCTCTATCCCTTCTAATAACTGTTAAAAAATGAGAATTCTCCTTAGAATAAGCATTAGATTGTGTAATTTGATGAAATTTCCCGTTTTGCTAAAATATTCATAGTTATCATTGTTATAAATTAGATTATTAGTAACGGTGAATAAGAAAGGAAATGATAATTGCATTAAAATAGAATTAATGCAAAATGAAAACAATGCTAATTCTATCCTTTCTGCGGCAAATCAAACAAATTAGCAATTGAAATTTGAAAATTATTTGATTCGTTAAAATAATCCAATAAGATCACAATAGAAAAAACTAAAGAGATAAACAGAAGCAATTTTATGGTTTATGAAAGGGAAAAGCTCCGTAGAAAATATAAATAAATAGTGGGTGGAGAGAGAGAGAGAGAGAGAGAGAGAGAGAGATGCTTGAATATTAATGAAATTTCTTTATTTAATATCTCATAGATATCTATTTTATATTTATGCGTTTAATTTCTTATCTTTCTATCTTTTCAACTGTTTCATTTATTTACACCGTTTTTATAACTTTTATATTATTTTTTTCTTTTTTTCTCATTTCTATTTTATTGCCATTTAAATTTATTGCTCTTTAGTTCCACTATTTATTCTCTGATTTCAAGTCACTTTCATCTGTGTGTTATTTCTTAAAGAAGAATTATTTTACAATATTTCCTATCATTCATCACCATATTCATCTGAAGGTTAAATAAAATGATAAAGGATTGCTTGTCACCGTGATAATGATGTAAACAATAGTAACAACTAAATATGGTAAAGAAATGGTTTATCTTACGAACGTCTGATTGCTTTCAAATTTCCGTGCTTACAACTAAATAAATGATTGCTGCTGCTTGCTGCAAATAAATTTCTCCTAAAAAAAGATACTCTTTATCGTTCCAAAACAACTATTTTTTTTAGTTTATCAATCTTCTGATCAAATTCTTTCTATCAAACGCCAGCAAAACTACCATTCACTCACCAATGAATAATATAAAACCATTGGGCAGTCAGAGGTCACCTATGAAGTTGGAAGAAGTGCCGTCAGTACTACGAAAGCTGCGTGTTCGAATTGATTTTTTCGATCGGCAGTCAGTTGATGTAGACGCTGTTGTTCAGGTTTTCAACAAAGTTCTTTAATTACCTTGAAATGGCTATAATTTTATTATGTCTAACTCATTTAATATACTGTTACCAAAGCCTTTGCATGCAGTCTGTTATCGATGATATTTTGAATAAATGTAATTTCCATAAAAAGACTTTCATCGAAAAATTTCACGTTGTGCTTGATCAAAATATCAATGACAAGCACTGAAAATTTACAGGACAATCTTCCAGGTGGATTTTGTATTGGAACTGTTGTGGGTTGTCACGGTACACCGGGCTCACATAACGATTTTAAATATATCTTGCCATATTTGTACAAATATGGAATTCGTTTTATAGGCATTAATTTTCCTGGTCAAAGCTATACCCCACGTATGTTTTTCCTTTTTTTTCTCCAAAACTATTGCTGATTGTATATGTATAACATAATTTATGAATTCTTCATAGTTCTTTTCAATCAAACTTGACGATCAATTTGATAGTGATCAATTAGTTCGAATTCATTAATTTAATTTGTTCATTAATTACAAAATAAAGTGGAATCTTCTGTTTGTCTCACATTTTCAGTGCTGATATGAATAATTAGTTAGACGTCTAAATCTAAAATAAGAACTTATAATATGAGATAAAAGGACAAAATAAAATGTTTGAATTTGTTCATTTATCTTTTTACTTAACAAAAATTGCTTTGCAGATCACGAAGGACTAAGTTATACTAATGAGGAGCGTATGCAGTTTGTTCAAAAAATCATCAATTTAATGAATGTCAACAATAACATTGTCTTTTTAGGCCACAGCAGAGGATCAGAAAATGCCCTTCGGTTGGCCGCAAGAAATCCGGTTAGATCTTCGTAGTAAAATGAGCAAATAAAGGATAGATAATTATCCCAGTCGTTGTGGAATCCCTTTTTTGGAACAGTAGGCAAAACTATCATTATATTTTCACTTCGAATTTGATACTTTCGAAAATGAATATTGTGTCAAGATTGCATTATTGTTTTAAACCATCCTTCAGGATCGATGTAAAGGCGTTGCATTGATAAATCCAATAGGTGTTATGGTTCATCACAGCATTAAGCCTACATGGATAATCCCTTTGGATTGTGGCTTTGGGAAACGTTCATGATATTTCGTTCTGTTTTGCGATATTCATTTTATAAAGGTATATGTTTCGAATGTTTGAATCTAAATTATAAACATTTCAAAAAATTTAAAAGACTTCGAATTTGACATACTTTGTTTATTGTTTTTCCGCCATTCAACTATGTGGAATAATGACTGATTATTATATTTTGGTAAAATAACAGTTAAATTATGTAGTCATCTTAAGTGTCCACTCATTTCATTATACTCCAAAATTATCAAATCACGCATTTGATCTTTCTATTCTATATTCGTATATTTATTTTCAGTTTTTCAATTGCTGAAAATGAAAGTAGAAAGTGGTGATGAAGCTGCAATTTGTCTAAAATTAATAGCTAATATCGACCTGACTGGTCAAATAGGTTATATCAGTATGCTGAATAACAACAAAACAAAAGCATGATTTCGAAATTATTAAATCCTTCTTTTATTTTCCTGAAATTTATAATCATCTATTCTTTTGCACTGCTTTAGAGGTGACTCAAGATAGTTTTGCATTGTTCATATTCACATTCGTGGTTTTATGAGCTATTTGGGTCTTCAAAAATAAATCTTGAAAAATATCTGCTAATTCCTGATGACAAGTATTACGGAAAGCAATTTCAGAATACATTGTTTCCGGTATTTTATAAGTTTTTCTACCATTAGACAACAGATTTCAGCTTTGACTTATATTTTTACAGGTTTTAATAGCTTACTCAGCTATGGATCATCTCATCGAAATATCAGTCAGTCAACAATTTGCATCTCTTTTTGATAATATCAGTCATGTGGTAAGCAATGCTTGAGTGACACATACATTTTTTTATTCGCATAGTCGCTTCTTCTATTTGTTATTTTTCTTTCCAAGCATTCTAATTTTTGAAATACAGTATCTGTTATGTATCAGATGAATCAGCCAGTAGATCGGTCAGTCGTCAATTTCTGAAATAGTGATTGATTAATTCGGCGTTTAATCTACTTTCTAAGTGTGGCCATTTAACTTTGGCAACAGTCATGTGTGATAGACTACCTTGACAAGGGTAAATGTCAGACACAGAACTTTGCTCATTATAATGCTAATTCATTTAGTACATTAAGAAATAAGTCATTTAAAAAAAATACATCAAAAATATGTCAAATGAATAAATACATGCTAATATATCATCTCGAAATAATATATTGTAGGAAATCTATTTAAAAGTGAGTTGTGTGTGAAAAAATTACCAAAGGGAAAATTTTCAGAGTTGTCCATCAATAGAAGGAGACACGTCAATTCTGGATTATATTCCGAAACAGTATGCCGAATCAGATCGATCTTTTTCGATATGCTTCGAAAACGAAGGCCATTATTTACAAAAATATCAATCAAAATTCATTGCCAACTGCACGCATTAATGCTAATAACGAAAAATATAACATCGAAATGCTGAAAATGGACTTCTACTGTAAAGATTGCAGAATCGAATGAGTATTTATAACATCAACTTAGTAATCATGTTCAGTTTCAAGCAGATATGGAGAGCTCGATTAAGAAATTCCATAATGGTCAGCTTTTTCATTTTTAATTCCAAGTGGTTTGCATTAAAATGATGTCATCTTCAAGATGTTGTAACCGGCTTTATGTACAGTCTCATCGCTGTGGGCATCAAAAATCTGTTTCAAATTACGTGAAACTAAACTTTGATCTCTAAAATTATTCAATGATATTGGTACGGTATTCATTATTGTGGTTAGAATGACATTTTTGTAGCCGTCGTGTGAAAGTTATATACACAAGAGATGAAGTCATTGGATTTCATACAGTATAAATTCTGGTTCTTGTTTACTCTCATTTTTGTCCGGAAGCATTTGTCTTGATGACCGAATGAAAAAATGAACCGGAAATCTAACAAAAAGGCATACAAAAGGACAAAGTGAATGTAATAAAAAAGCATGCAATAAACTGAAATGATGAAAAGGCATATGCCAAATGCAAATGAGAAAAGCCTTCATTGGGATTATCATGTATTCGCGATAAGCAATATTAAAAGAAAGGCAAAGAATAAGTAACTATAATAAAATAGAACACAAAAAAGGATAACAAAAAGGAGTATATTGAGTGAAAGGTTAACAAAGGCATGTATAAGAGTAGGTTGAAGATTAATTACAATTCGTGCTGCTTTACTAATTAACTTCTCATTATCAATTCTGAGCCGTTGATTATAAAAATATGCTCTTAGTAAGTGACACCAAGCTATATTATAACTTCTCTACTTTTTATCACATTATTTGAGCATATTATAAAAGCTCCATTCCCTTCCTCCATATTTTCTTTATTTGCAAAAATCTATAAGAATTACAACAGTTTGGCTGTATTTTGCAAGGCCCATTTTTGCAAACACAATTTTGCATTTGCTTTCCTTACATTAAAATGCAATCTGTGCAATTGTCAGTAATGAATGTGAATTGAATCATATGACGAACTTTTCATGTCTATTTATAGGCTTTCCGTTGTTTCTTACATTTGGGGTACTCTCTGCTACTTTGCTAATATCTTCTCTAATGACAAGCGCTTAAGAAACAATAAATGTAGAATTAGAAATAACGCCAAAAAAAGGTTGTCTGCATTGTTCCATTCATGAATTGCCATAATGTAAGTGACATTAAAGATTATCTTCCAAATAATCTAAAACAATAAAAATGTCCGGAAGTTCCGAATTTTCTTTGTAAGAAGCATTCTTTGGGCATTTTGCCTTCTCCACCTCCTCCAAGCTGATCAGAAGCGAATTTTCAGACTGAAAAGACTACATTTGACAATAAAGGAAGATGAGGTGACCTTCTTCTCCAGGAAGATGAGGAAGATGACCTTCTTCTCCATCTGTATGATATTCCAAAGCATTATGGACTGACTTCCTTTCTAATTAATTCAAAATATCGAATATATTCAAATGTTTTTTTTCGTCGGAAGCGCTTATTCCATAAAATTAGCAAATATTCATTAAATTCAAATATACATAATGGAAATATTATTTATTGATGGTAAAATAACGCGAAATTTTACATTCAATTCATTTATAACAACAACAACAACATTATGTAATAATACAAACATTCATTAAGTGCGATAGTAATAATAAACAAACAAACAATGAATAGATGTAATTAAAAAAATTTTTTCATTTCATTATAATAAATGAATTCCTGTTTTGACGGACTTTTCCTACTCCTTTCACTGATCCGACATTTTGAAAAAAGAACTGAGGTATTTCTTTCTTTTCTTTTCATTTCTTCCCTTGTCTTGTTCTTACTGCTATGAATTTTGATTGGTTAATCCATAAGATACTTTACATATGTAACTGGCTGTTGACATGATGAGTTAGTTGCATCCACTGCATTGTAAACATCTTAAATTCATAAAAAAGCAATCTCAGCTTTTTCGATAAGATTGAAATGAATATAAATTAAGCGATAAGTAATGCAAGAAATAATCGTTAGAATGAATTATAGTATAGCCAAATTCATTTTAAATACATCCTATTATTAAATATTATTAAGATTATCCTTCCTCCAAACTAATAGCTTCCTGCAATGATTTTACAGACTGAAATAAGAGTTAAAAAGAATTAACGGACTTGGCATATAATCGAAGCAGAACAGGTTAACTAGAAGTTCTGAAATATGATGCAGAGCAGGTCTACTAGATAGTTCTGAAATATGATGCAGAACAGGTTAACTAGATAGTTCTGAAATATGAATGTATTTTCGCACATCCGATAGAATTGACAGAAGGGTTTCCTGCATTAATAATATTGACTAGTTCAGATTGCTGAGTGGATGTGCGGTGATTAGCAGTTTTAGTACAAAGCACGTTATCCTATGGACGAAGTGACTAATCGGGAAATGTAATGACTAGATAAGCACTGATGAAGATCGGATGTACCTCACTTCATCAAATTTTTCAATCGTCTAAAATACTTTCTCAGTTCTTTTCCTCCTTTAGCTGTGTCGATGATTGTAGAGAAGCGATCATTGTTCCATTATCAAATTTTAAAAGGATTTAATATTGGTAAAACTTCAAACTATAATTTTAAAAGAAATGAAACCTTTTTAATTGGTTTTATTTTGAAACAGTGAAAGGTGGGAGACATTTCTTCTTTAAATACTGTTAATAAAGATACGAATGCGTGCATGGATATACGCTTGTATGTGTACAATAGTTTGGGTCCCTAAAACTTTAAATATCCTCAAATTCCACATCGGTTTCTCCAGAACATATCGTTTATTCAAAATTTGGAGTCTCCGAAATGTTGTGGTAATGAGATCATCAGTGCTTTATGCGAGGCCGATATTCACCCCTTTTTGTGCACTCTCTAAGTCTGTCACTTTCATTATGAAATTATAACAAACATTTCAAAGACTTCTAATGTAGCAGCCCATTTCTAAAAGTTGTTTCATACGTCCATATTCATACCTTTCATACATATGTTCACATCTGTGAGGCAAAGTTTTTCGGGACTAATTTACCGTGTAACTTTTTTATCAAATTAAAGAAAAGCAAAAACATCTGGTATATAGTTTAAGTTTTAAGATCGACAGGAACAAACTATGGCTACTTTTTGATTCGGATACAATAGAGTACAAAATAAATGAGTTAAAAACATGAATTATTAATTAATTGTTTTGTTACCAGGAAGAGATTTGGGATGCTGCAGAACCATACAAATAATCAAAACATAAAAACCAATCAAACGAACACATTTTCCCCTATTATGGAACATTATAACTGAAAGTTAACGCTTGTCAAAATCGTGCAATGGCCACCAAATATAGAGAACCTGCAGAATAATCAAAACTGGACTTTGACTTACTTATTAAAAACCACCGTACCCACGAAGATTCAGAAAACTTTACATCAACAAGTAATCTCTAAAATATCGCTTTGGGTGATTATATATATATATATATATATCAGTGGGAAATATCCATACTTTCAATTATGTCATATTTAATTTCTTTTTGCTTCAGAATATTAGTGGAGCCAAGCTTGAATTTATAGTCTAATTCAACGGGCTCTGGTCGTACGCAGAAATGTGGAACTTCAGGACCCTGAAAAAATCTCATCTACTGCAATAATCAATAAATTATAAAAACCATTAAAACTGCTATTGTTGCTCAATGAAAATGTACGATGACTGCTAATTACACGAATTCCGCGACGAGCTTATGCTTCAAAAATCCCACCGCGAAAGACTGTAAAACAATGATGCGATTTTTGACTGCACGCATATATCATCTCGAACAAAATTTAGGGTTATGCAAAATGATAACCCATAATACTTTCATGAAAAGCTGAGAATAAGTAAGGCTTACTCTGAGAAGTAGGACGAAATTTACATTAAAACTGAATACTCAACTTTTCAAGTTTATTTTGAAAAACCTATGTGAAAATCACCTTGAATACCGTAGTTTCGGGTGTTATGATCACAAAATTGAGAGAATTGCCAGAAGCGTTATCACCATGCATGCCAGCCTCTAGCGCACGACGAACCAGATGAACGGCTTCTTCTTGCTAAAAATGCATATCCATATCTTCAAATCTTTTCAAATCTTCATTTCAAATCTTTTTCAAATCATTTCAAATCTTTTTCAAATCATTTCAAATCTTTTTCAAATCATTTCAAATCTTCATTTCAAATCTCATACATTTCAAATCTTCAATCTTCAGAAAATCATTAAATAATTTAGCAGCATAGTATAATTAGAGAGTGCCTTGTCTACGGAATAAATATGGACATTAAGAGTTGTGGATTGGAAATTGTGAATCAAATGAAAGAATACGTGACAAATCACGTGAAAGGTATATACATCTCCCAAAATCCACATATCATACAAGACATTGAATGTTGTGCCGGAGCAAAGGTTTATAAAAATAACATATCCAAATTCTTACAGATATAATGAAAATAAAAAATAGTCATTTCTTTAAACTAAATGACTAAAAATTTACCGTCATGCCGGTTTTGAAATCTCGTTCTAGAATGGTTGTAGCAGCATAACTACCTGAGCCTTCAGAAGCGAAAGGCTTACTTTGTGTATAACCATTTGCTGAGCACTGAAATATTAATTGTTCTATTTTATTTACAATAATTTCGGCTTTCAGTATATGAGACGGCTCATCGTTATCGTTGACCTTTTCATCTGATTTTTAATTAAGCCAGACGATCTTTGAGTTCAGATGTAGTACTACTAAAAGAAATGGAAAAAAAGGACCTCAAAACAATACTATCATTTTAGTCTCAATGAAACACAGCTGTAAAGCAAGAACAGATCAAACAAGCCTGATACAAATGTGGTCCAGTAGGATCAACACCACCAATCAATAGATACGCTCCAACATGACCCATGTATGAAAACAAATGTTGCTTGGCTCGTCGAAGTGCCGTAACCACTCGTGCTTTCTTTCCAGTATTCAATTCTAGAAGCCGTAGTTGAGCAGACAACATTTTAGATACCTAGAAATATCCCATACTTTAGAATAAGCAAATTTTGAGAACACACTAGCTAAAGTATATATATTGCACTTATTTATCACTACACATCGTAGTATTAATGTAAGATGAACGCAATCTATTTAAAAAGCTTTCTAGAAGGCAATACTGCATCAAATCGATCAATTTGGTTTGTTGAATCAGCACTACAAACAATCGTTAGCATTACAGACAATCGTTGATTAACAAAAAGCGATATCTTCCAAGCTTAATTAATGCTCCCGAATCTTTTGCCATACTTTAGCCTACCGAGACCCTGAATGTATAGTACCTGACAAACGATGCTATAATTTTATTCGAGAAAATAAGAAGTATAACTAGTTTTCAGAAAAAAACAATGAATATACCAACTTGATGTAAATCAGCAGCAGTACCAGCACCACATACATAAATCGAATCAGTGATTTTATGTACTTTTTGGCAGTGCTTATCAGCGATAATGTTACCAGCAGTTGCACGCGAGTCGGCACCCATTACCAAACCATCCTGCGAAACAATTACTAAATTGATATTAAGTGCAAACTTACAACCCAAAACTGTTTCTAAGAATAAAGTAAGCAAATCTTTGATCTTTAAAAATGATATATCATTCTGCTGCTAGCTAAGTAGAAAGGGAAACTTCCGGTCGAGCGTAAATGAATAATATAACCATCACCTACTGTTTACTTCAATAATTCTCAACTTTTCTATCATATGAAACATAAAAGGAGATGAAATTATGCCATGCCTTGTAGGTGGTTGCAACGATAGTTGTACCAGTACTTTTCATCGTTGGTGGTTTCACACCTACTGCCTCTAGGGCCATATTTCGGACACAGTTTGAGAAATCAAATGCATTACTACGGCCGATGTCAGCATTACCACGAAGTATTTCTGCCATACTTCTATACTGAAATATGAAATATGCAACAGCATATGATGCTGGTGTGGAACGATGCAGCTATAAAAGCGACTTGTTCTACTGCTGCAGAGTTGAACTTTCACCTTTCCAATGTCCAGAGCTCTTCAAAGCACTATGATAACCCAAATCATTATATCATAGGATTTCCGGATGACCAGCAATTCTTTAGTTAAGCACTATTAATTATGTTCTGCACTATTAATTACTGGTGAATTAAGTGAAGGAAATGTGCTGGTCATCCTGAAATTCTGTGACATGATGGTTCCTGACGAAGTCAAGAAAATGTGCTTTTCTGGTCACAAAAACTACACACTGAATTAAAGACGAATGGTTTTATTTGAATGGTTAGTAATATACTCAGCACTTGAACCAAATTAAGTAAAACATGTTAGGTTATTGTTATGGCTGACATATTTACTAGCGAGGAAAGAGACCGGCGTTAACAACATAACACCTATATGACCAAACAAGGGACAGACCGATCAACGTCAGAAAAAACCGAGTATTAAGCACGCCCCTTATTCTCTAGAGACATTCCGGCAAGACCAAAACTGTCTAGGCCCGACGAAACATGCAAGCGTGACGAAACTGTTAAATCCTATCACTCTAGTTTGTTCTGCGAATATGTGCACGCCCCGCCCATACCGTGCAATTACCTTATCTCCTAACTTCTGGCAACAATTTCATGCAGAAGGGTATGACTGAAATATTCCTAATTGTTAAGGCCTGCAGTGTAACAGTTCGGAATATTTAAATTTAATCAGTACACTTCTGGACTGTTAGGTCCCATTCTCTTTAGAACACTTTCTCCTCTAGTTTTAGAAACAGAACTGCTAATAAGACATCTGTCATTACATAATTCTGCGATAAATTCCGTTTTTATACAATCTCTAATAATTTTTGATCGGAGTAAGAAACATTTCAAACAGAAGAGAATAAAAAATAAACAAGTTTGATCACGATAAACTAAACGAATAAAATCAATAATCCGGTAATCAACTGCAACTTGAAACGATAACCAATCAATTCAAATAGTTCTCATTTAAAAACAACCCGATCAACAGTTGCGAGTTAAAACAATAAGTTAACAAGTAATCAAATCGATAGTTCAATAGCTGTTACATGAGCTTTTCGCCTTATCAGTTCAGCTGTTGGAACCAAAAATCACAACAAACAACATCCCGTCTGGAGCCTCCCATGTTTACAGCAATAAAAACAGTTTAATATCTCACAATGTTTTAACAATTTCAAAACTATCAAAAATCCTCTTATACTCCAAGAATACATCCTGAACAACTTTTGCGGCACCATAAAAATACACAGTTAAAAAACAGATATAATTTAAGAGAATTTACTGGAACACAACATCCTAAATCTTCTTTCAAGTAAAAACAAGGATCTGAACTTCTAAGAAAATGAAATATAAAAAGCAGAACCATCCCATTTTCGAACGACATATAAAAACTTCCACTTTTCAATTTGAATTAGATTGACACTATAATATAAATTTAGAGCTAAATTTGCCAATTCCTGAGTCAGTCTTCTGTCCCTAACCAGGCTTCTCTAAAGTACGGAAAGGTACCTCCGTCTCAATCTGCCTTAATTCTTTCAAGAAAAAAATGGCATTTTGTAACGAAGATTAACATATTCCAAATACATCATTAAAATTTCATCGCTTCATTTCGTTCCCCATGAACATACAAGAGGGAATGAAAACGTAACACTAGTGGAAGCAACTTTCTTCAACAACGAAGAATAAGAAAAAAATAAAGCAGAACACGCGACAGAATTAACTAAATGCCTGAGCAAAGTTTCAAAAAAGAATATTAAATTACGAACCGAAGAATTGGAATTAAACTTCTAAAATGGTTGGAAGATACAAACAGTCTTATAAATTCTTTCATAATTTTTGCAATAACTTAGTATTTTGCGCTAGCTTTTTCTAGTACGCTAAGTATCATCATTTTTGATATATTTTTAGATACCAGTAAGGCTGATGAGAGAAAAAATAGTCACAAGCAATCATGAAAAATCGAAATTTTCAAATTTTGAATGACAGGAAGTGATAGTTTCATGTAATGAGAATGACATCACAAATTTTTTTTGAATGACACTCATTAATAATGATCGGGAGATTTATAAACTGAACCGTATAATGTGCGTCCAAAGTTGTACAAAGGTATTAAGGGACATCATCAAACTCGCATAACAATATTATTTAGGAAGGAGTTTCATCAAATAATAATTAACAGAACATCGGAGCATACAATTCACTAGGCGAATAATAACAACGCATAAAAGATAAGCTTCCTTACATATGAACATGAGATAATCAAAGGGCAAAAAAGTGAACAACTCATCGATAAATGCGCTGGGATTCATGATAATGATGTTCTTTAATTGATTATCCTGCACTTTCTTCCATCCTTCCCCAATTGCAACTTCTTTTTGAACAAATTCAAAATCAGCGACATCATATTCGCGACATTATATTAAAAGCCCGGAAATGTTTTCTTTCCTTCTATCTCCACTATTATATACCTTTCCAAGTTTTCCTAGCAATTTCCAAAAAATCCCGAGGAATTTCAAAGAAAACACACCAATTACGGTGCATTTATCGTTAACAAACTAATAACAAGAATTTCTGAGCTATTTGTACTGTTGTTGGACACTATCGTTCTTCAACATCTCCATCGCCTACATCTGATATTACTATAGCTTCGGCTGCTACTACTGTTGCTGTCGCCGTTGCCACTGCTGATGATGATGATCCGTTCGATGACGCACCACTTTCGTGTAGCCTTTTGGTTGAAATAAATAAGTAAATAAATAGATGAATAAAAATCTTCTAAAAATTCATACATATTGTTTTAAAAAACGGGATTGGAGTGGATCTATGAGGTGAAAAGATTCCAACGAAGCTACTGGTAGAACTTTTGAAGAGATACCGCTACCAAAATGATAGATGACTAGAATAGGTATACAACTCTTAACTTTCTCAACTACTGCAATTTTTGCTTTGACTTAATTCAAATTTGGAAAGAGAAGGAAGTTCTACCTAAGATGCGGTGCTAAACGTTTGAAATATCGATGGTCCAATGCAGACGCCAACGTAATTCGTTGCGATGGTTCGTATGTAAGCATTTCTGAGATTATATCAAACAGTTCAACGTCCTCCGGATCGTTTGATTTCATATAACGCTGGAAATCACATCAAGTAGCTCGTTTAGTTCAAGGACTTATTTACCAGAAAGGTTTCTTTTGTATTTGACCAAATATAACTATAAAGAAAACCTTTCTGTAAAATAAGTCCTCAAAGTATTCAAGTAATAAAGAAAACATCTATTTGAACTTAGCCTTCTCGAACTTTTTTATTGGAAAAAATATTAAATAATTAAGTATTCAAACAAACATTTAAAATTTGAACTACACCACCTGAAAGCTTTTTGCAAAATGATTTAGTAAATAATCTTGTACCCGAATAAACCTTCACTCGTCTTCGAACTTCTATATTACCCGGACTACTAGCAAAATTCAGATTGTTCAACTAATTGAGCGTATTAATATGATCTGCATTAGCATGATTAGAAGCAAATGAATTGGAGATTTTTGGTAAAACTCAATTTTACGGATATTTAATACACTACCGTCTAAATTTATAAACAGGACGAGATGGAGGAAATTTGGAAAAACTCTTCTTACTTTTGTTTAAAATTGGAATGATAAAAGCTGAAAATCTAAACATGAGGGTAGTAAATTATGTAAAATATTGCCCTTCCTTTCCTCACTATTGTTTTTATGTTATTTCCTCTAAACAATATTCACCTGCCAGACAAAATCTCAGTAGCAAGTCTCCAAAACATTCTTATAGATTTTTGAGTGTCTTAAACTGATAATACTGACGCATGGAACGCAGGAATGAACATTTACTGATTACAACAATCACAAGTTTTATGATTAAAGGTGAAAACAAACATTTGCTGATGGTAAGATTAATTAGCAACTGTTCTAAAAGAATTAGGTGGATAATTTTTACAAATTCATAACATTCTCTCTTTCCCTTCTCATCACTACACAGAACATTCTTCAATGTCAGTCGCAACAAACACGCCAGAAACAAAGTGCACGATTTGAAAGTATGCTTCGAATCGGAGCAAAAAAATTTGAAGATATATCATTCCATTATTTTAAATTCTGTTTTCTGCTTACTTACAAGCATATGCAAGTTTTGCCATCCCATCGTTTCATATCTTTTTTAGGAAAAGTAAAAACAGAACAAGGTTTTTAGTATTCGGTCGAAAAAGTAATTCAGTCATCTAACAACTGCTTTTCTTAACTAAAATGCTCTAATAAATTTCGAACTGTTGCAAATGAGCAATGAAATTCACTCTTCCTAATTTTTATCGATTTTATGAAAAAAGCGGTTATTCCTACTCCATGAATATAAAAAGTATATAAACTTAAATGAGTTAAACAAAAGAGAAGGAGTTCAATAAGAAATTTTATAAACACTTTATATATTTTATATAATTAAATCTTTTTACGCAGGTTGCTTACAGTAGTGATGCCTGCATAAAAAATTTGATTCAGGAAAAATATTTTCAGGCTCAAATTACATACGAAATGTTCCTCTTACAATATATTTCGCTCTTTATAAAATTTGAAATTTTCAAGTAAATTAAAATATTAAAGGAATGAGCTTATCAATGAAGAGAAAGTAAATTCCCACCGACAGCGGTTTACAATTATCTCTGACGTACTGCCCCGCTTGTGTTTTTTCATTCCAGTCTAAGCGTCCATGATAAAAGTATTTCGTTCTGAAAATGAAAACATTAATTATAGATGAAATCTTTAAAACATATCTTTAAAGCCCTATCATTTCTTACCAAAGATAAAATACGTAGAAACCATATTTATATTCCAGCCAATAAATTACACCAATAAACAATGATTAACCCAATTCTTTCTATTCTGTTCTAATCTTATTCAGTTTATAAATGTTTTCGAATTTTCCCAGCAGTACTTTTCAAAAAATTAATCTGTTTGATATCGTAACACAGGATAGGAGGAATTTCCCACATCCCGGAAACAGTATATAGAGTTGTTAAAAGATTTCAGAACTTCAACTTTATTATTTATCTTCCGCAATGCTGGTAGACTTAGAATAAATAAAAGTGAAATAATGAAAATCATAAATAAGCCATCTAAAGATACGAAAAAGTACAGTAATCTCCAGTAATATCAAAACAAAAAAATTCTAAGAAATGAAAAAAAACTCATTGATAATACATACTTAGACTTCCTGCACATTCGATAAGGTAAAGTACCCAAGATTCTCTCCATCATTGCAAGATGCTCCCTATTATCATGCGTTTGGAACAATGTGATACCGAGGTAGAGCTCGAACAAAATGCAACCAATCGACCAAACATCACAAGGTTGAGACCACCCTAATTCTGAAATATCATTACACAATGGACAGCAGTGTACAATCAAACTTAAAATTTTTTTCTCTAGAATATCTTGGAATAAGATGCTTTGGTACTAGGACTCGTCCAATCATTAAAACCAACAGTTCTTCAAAATTCTGCTAAAATAAGGTCGCATTTCACCCACATCAGCTATAGATCTCAAAATGTTCAAGATACGACAGAAATATCCATTACACGAAATATTCATGTACTACATGTTAAAGTTAAAAGGCATGCCTGTCATACCATCTACGTCTGATTAAGGTTGGGAATTCCGGCACTAAAAGGATTGTAAATTCATGCGATTGAGGCTAGTTAAATAATTTATTTGCTGATGCGAAAGAAATATATTGAATGTATAATATAAGTGCAACAGTTATGTCATCCCGACATAAATCCCTAAAACACAGTGACCGTAATGAAATAATATCTATGGTGAGCTAAAATTTTGATAATTTGAAATAAGACAAATGGAATGAGGATATGTATATTATATAAAGCATATGGTTCTGTAATTTATTTTAATGTTTTAGTTTTAGTGAAACGTAATCAATGGCAATTATAAATCGATTGATCTATCCTTTGAGATTTGAGAAATTTCTTTGTATCTGGTTTCTGTATTTCTCTTCAGTCAGATCTCCGTTGAAGCCATATGAATTACTAGTGCAATTTACAGTAATTCTGAAGTATAGGAAGAAGCACAACAGACGTGAAACTTTGGATATAGTACATGTCTTCCTAATTCAGCACTGCATATCTTTTAAAATTTTGTTGCTACAAACTGCTATGTAGAGTAAAAAAAAAGAAAAATACTAAAACCTAGAATAACTTCAGGTGCTCGATAGTGCCTTGTTGAAACAATTGTCGAATGATGTTCATGATCAAATGTTGCTGAGCCGAGATCAATTAACCGCACGCTTGCATCATCGATTATCCGTAAAGGCTTCTTTTTCTTTCCATCCTCGACCACTCTGAAAAAATAACAAAAGAAGCCATTACTAATGCTTCCGGCTTCTGTTTTTCAAACAGGAAAAAGAGAACTCAATTCCATATTAAAGAAAAAATCTAACAAATGGAAATTGCTCAGCTAAACAAATGTGCATAAGGTAAGCGGTAGATATTTCTGAAACAGTATGTACAGTTGTATTAACAACCTCCTCAATCCCTCTCTTTGTTCCCTTTCCATAATTTAATTTAATTATTCTGTGAATAAGCCTTTCAGTAGCATTTAAGCATCCATCAGCTGCTACCAATTATTTTGATGGCACTCTGATTTGCCACATAACTTGCCAGTTAATTATTAGCAAAACTAAATTCAGAAAACGGAACCTGTAGCTACTATTCAAGAACAAAATATTTTCGGGCTTGAGATCCGTGTGCGTTAAACGATTGTCGTGCATAAATTTTACTGCATAACATAACTGATAAGCTATGTATCGCGCTTGCTCCATTGGATAAGCTTGGTAATTATTTGCTTTCTGAAAAAAAAATGATTAGAGTCGCGATTCAAATTCTGAAAATAGAGAAATTAATAGTTCCATTTAACTCAAATGTTGAAAACGATTGCCGTCTTCTGCCAGAGTTTTGTAATTAATGAAATAGGTAGTACTAATGCGAAGATTTAATACAGCTATATTGAATCTCGATGTTTGAATATGCTTTGGACTTACCATGAAATCAAAAACGCTGAGGCCAAGTAATTCGAACAATAAGCACACATGGCCATGATAATCAAAATTGTCAAGAAGTTGTATCACCAGACTGGAAAAGTAAAAAAGATTAAATTAAAAAGATTAAACGAACATATTCCCATCTCACATGATAAACGAATGCATATGTATAGCGGAGAAGAAAAAATTTTTACTTACAACTTTCCATTCGGATCTTTCTCTTGTAATTTGTTTAATACATTAATTTCAAGACGTGCAGCTTCCCGATATTTAGTTACATTTTTGATAACTTTTAATGCAAATTGTCGACCATCTTTAGTGCTATCTTTAACTTGAACCACTTTACCGAATGTTCCTTCACCTAATGTACGTACTATTTCATCTGAAAGAAATAAGGACAAGTAATCCGTAATATCTTGTTTCGACGTATTGGAAGAAAGAAATATTAAATGAAATTCGTAAGTGAATGAAAAATAAGTTCAAAAAGAGCGAAATAAATGGGTAAATGAAGGGACGCAGAAGTGAGAGATGAAAATGGAAAATTTGCGAATAAAGATCAACATGATTAAATAACGGCTGATAAAAAAATGAGGATTAAGTAGGGCCTTTAACAGTATGCTTTCGAACAAATTATATAATACCATCAAATCTCCCCCAAAACTAAAAAATTCGATCAGAAATTAATTTAAAACTGGGAATTGAATTTAGTGGAACTATCTCTTAATGCAAACTGAAGAAAATTTGTCCACCTTTCGATAGGTTAAAAAACTTGGTAAACTTTTGGAATTTTATTATTTTTAGTATCAATAACATACATCTTCCTTGAATAATATCACCATCCTGATAAATAAGATGCCCATCACGGTCATCCTGAACGACTGGTCGTGCTACTGAAGGTGCAACAGAACTTGATGGTGTTTGTCCGGCTCCAGTTACATGTGATTTCGATGAGGATGCTGGTTGCAGGCGGTCAGAACGATCACTCTGAAATGTTTAAAATATCATGAAAACACCGTATGTAAATGTAACTTAATTTCCTAAAGAATTCAATTCTCTAGCCAATAATTATTCTTATCCGGACAAGGATAGCATTAAAATATTAGAACAAGTCGCTTTTTGCAAATTCCACCAGTTTTCGTTTTAGAAAAACTGCTACTATTGTTTTAGGAATAATATTCAGATCTGTCGGTATGATAGAAAGTTAAGATTTCATTCTTTAACTAGATAACTTAAGATCTGAAAATTGCAGAAGAAATTGCAAAATAAATTCAAAATATCCCATTATTTACGTATATTACCAAACAAATTTAGGCCTAAGTTAAACCCTAAACAGATTAATTATGAAAATTGTTTTGCAGTAAAACATGGGTACACAAAAAATGTAAAAAAGAATTCTCCATGAATTTTAACTGAATAAATCTTGATATGTCACTAATAATGATTAAAGTGAGGTAAAATAACTTTTAACGACAAATTGTTTCGGCCCAGCTTCCCGTCTTATTTTCTTCGTCCTAAAATAACCGACGAAAACTTGATTTCCGCTTATCAAACGTATGATAAAACAATCGAAAGCATTACCGATGAACAAAACATGGCCAAAAACACCGACAAAGAAAAAATTAGGGCATCGCTTTTAATCCATGATAAATGGCTTTTTCCACAAACCCACCTGACCTCCTATGTGTGAATGGTGAGAGGTTCAACAGCAGCTCAAGTAAGTTAAGACAAAAAGTCAAAACCAGCGAAATCAAACATTTGGGGTTATGCTTAGCAGCTAATCGATATTAAACAAGGATCCGACCACCCGAATTCGACTGACTAATAAAAACGGTATTATATTGGACTGCCGCTATGTCCATTGCTGCTTTTATCAGCTAGTATGACATAACATGACTGATCTGTCACTTGATCTTTAAAATGAAAATGAGAGACCAACTCCTTATACCTTTTTTTTTTGAAACAAAAAAGGTTTCTTGTTAACATCGAAAACCAGTTCCAATAGCAAAATTCGGGAAAGGCTTTGAAACAAAATTTAATATTATGTGTACTACATTTATCGATATCCAATGTTGTCTGATGAAAAACTGAGCGTTTAGGCATCAAGGCTTAGATAATTAGCCCAAGGCAATAAGGCTAAAACAATCAGTAATTATCACATATCTTTTAAGACGATGGAAATTCTTTTCTTTTCTAACATTCTAATGGTACTGAAGGCATTTTATTTGATTCTCATATTGGTGGATAAGGTGATTGATTTGTTTTACACCTAAGGCAAACAGGTGAATATTAAGGAGACAACTAAGAGTTACAATGTTAACAGCTTAAATCATACATAAGCAACAATAAATTTTGACTTGGATTTTTATGCCCACTTGACAAACATATTATGAAATGATTTTCCAATTGTGAATGTTAGACACCTTCTGAAACATCGTCAATAGGCAGCGGGTATTTTTTTAAAGAAAATGAATGTATTTCAGAAATTAATTTTAAGCATTGTGGATATTCCGAATGGTTACCATTACGGACTGATGTATCCACCAAAGACAGTATCTTTGTATCAAGGGAAAATGATACCGAATTGATAGCAGCATGATTGGAACATCGTTCTTTTTCTTTCCGATCAGCATTTGCAATAATTCGATCCACTTCTGCACTAACAGATGGTGGTAGCTGAAGGGTTGCAAGTAAGGAATTATGTGAAAATTTGGTTGGTTTTAGTTTTCGGGTGGATGGTGGTGGTATTAGGGTAATTACAGTAGGTTGAGGCACTGCTTTTTGAATTCGTAATCCACTGTCACTGCCAATACAGACGGTGTTATTATTATCATTTACTGAGTTTATATTTGGCATTTGTTGTGGTACCGATACAACTGGCTTTTCGGTTTCACCGACACGTCTTATCGTAACCTCACCCGTTGCTCTAATTGCTTCTCCTGCTCCAACAATAGTTATGGCACCTGTATTGTTTGTCTGTTCCGCAATAGCTTGAACGAGCTCAGTTTGCTGTGGTTCGAGTGTTAGGGTTGAAAAAGCAGCAGTGACAGCTGTAACCGTATTCTGAGCCTTTTGTTCGGCCGTCCGTTCCTCTTCTCTTTCATCTAAATTATTTCCTGACGATAAATTGACGTATTCCCGATGATAGTCCTTCCGATCGCTACCACCATCTTCCTGGTATTTTGCATAACCTAAGAAACGTCGCTTAATGAGCGGTGTTTCGACGGTAGTTGTTCTTGACAGCATAACACTACGAGAAGACAAATTACGGGGTCGGATCCTGGATGTGGTTGGCGGAGTAGGAGCACGTAAGGCAATTTCCGCCAGACTTCCTCCTTCATCATTTACATCTAGGATAGCGTTATCCGAATAATTAGCAGCTAATCCAGTTTTCTTCATTTCGAAATCAAAAACATTTGATAATTCTCGGTTACCTTTACGTCTCCTTTTCTCATCCTCTTCACCTTTTTGAACTACTGATTTCGTCACTTCTCCAAAAAGCATTCCTTCCCCGAATTTTGATTTTTTCGATGTTGATGAAGCGGATTCCTTACTAGTTCTAGCTTCAACCTTCAATGTTGAATCATCAAAGGAAATTGCTTCAGGTATCGCAGCAATAGGTGCTGCATGGGTAGAAGATGTAAATGAAGCTGATGGTTTTTCAGGAGAAAATGGCCTTGATAGACCTTCCCAATGATTGTAACTTCGGTATAATACTGGATCAGAGAAACAACGACGCAGACTAGCGATAAGTTGCGTATTGCGCCTTCTAGACACGTAATTTTTATATTTCCTTTTTCGTGGAATCACCACAATCGGCATTCGACGTATGCTGTCAAAACCACGACGTGGCATTTTTGTGCGATATTGTTCCGGCGGTTTAGACAACAGTCTGTTGATAATACAGGATGGCTGCGGCGATGGATTTGAGAGTAATGATGGAGATATGGATGAAGAGGGTAAAATGAAAACGTGAAGTGAAGATTGGTGACAAACCGGCGACGGTACCAAGGTGGCGTATTGCGGGATTCGATAAGAGTAATAGTGCTTGATAACAGGAGTATGGGTTGACAAGTCGAATGAATTGGACAGTTTTCCAAATTTCGACTTTATGAGATGATTAACCGGCCGCTTAAGCTGTGTTAGCGGCAATCGGTAAAAGCCATTCAATGGATATTGCGGGAACACGGTGGTTACTGTCGGTGAATTTGGTAGTGTTTGAACCCACTTGGAAGGGGCCAATTGGGGTAGAAGCTGGAAGGATGAAATATTGGCTATTTAAAGGCAAAATTACCGTCACTGCCACTACGTTACCGCTACCGCTACCACTATACCGCCACCACCACCACCACCACAAGCAATAGCGAATGTAGGAATAATAATGCCACAACACCAATTTTCCACTAGACAATTACCCAGAATTAACCTCTTCCATAATGTAATTCATTCAAATTTGCCATAAATCGAATTATTGATGATAAAGACGATAGTATGAACAAAATTGTATGGTAATGGTGAAAATATATACAGTTACAGCAGAGTAGAATTAGAGCGGCATACACATAATACCTAATACCGCAAAGTGATGGTTCAAATAAAAATATACCAGCAGCAAGAGCTGATTTCAAAGATAATGTAAAACCAAGAGTAAGGCGTCAGTAGTTTAGTTAGTTGATTGGTCGGTACGTCGATGGGTTTAGTAAGCAAAGAAACAGGAAGAATGAAATTGTTGCACCTACTACTGCTGTTGCTGTTGCTCAGGGAAATTGTTGCTTCGAATCAAGAATAAAGGGAAGTCCTCATCGGATATGACAGCCGCGTTTCCCTCAGCTTTCTAACTTTCAGCGCTCGAAATTCTGATAAAGCTCCGGATGACGATGATGGACGGCTGCTTAATGCTGCTAACTGCATAATGCTTACGCGGATATGATAATGTATGGTGGTAGATGCTCAGCCCATTTCACAAAATTTGTTGCTTTTTCCTCAACAATCTGTTGTATATCACTCCTACCCTTCTCCCTCTTCTTCATCTCACTACCTCGAACATCCCGAACACGCCGAAGCTGATGATAATCTTTATTTCCTATTAGTTTCGTTGTCTTTCCTAACTGCAATATCATTTCCAATTCAAGCTCCAAGAAAGCATATATCTCTTGAGATACCTAAACGCATAACACCATTTTCTGAGATTCATCTCCTCTGGCGTTCCACCAGCTACCTAGCTAAGAAGTAAATTCTCCTGATTTCTTCCTTCTCTCCCTTTCTCTCTACCATAATTCAAAACTTTTTGAAGATGTACTGTGCACGAATTCATATATATATGAGAATGATGGAAAATAAATTCTCAGAATATTTTAATATGAAAGAAAATTTGTTCTCAAAGTAAATACTGAAAACTTGACGTTAGAAATGTCATCCATATTTTGTATCTACTTCCTTATAATTTTTAGCCAAGCCCATAATCAAAGCATTTGAAAAATTAAAGAAAAGAGTTCAGACAGTCATCAACAGCACTTTTCGTGAGGTCTTCTGATTCCATCTGAAATGAATCTTGCTATCACCGAAAAATTCATTGCATTTAATAACAAACAAATTTATTGGTAGTCTAATGAAATATTAGCCGTGTTAAACTTAATTCCTTTTAATCTTATATGCTATCTGTTTTATCTAACACATGTTCATAAAGCGATCCTTCTGTCTTTAAATCTTTTCACACATGAACATCCTTTTTTCTCTCCTTCCTCCCCATTCTTTCTTGCCAGAAGCAAAAATTAAGAAAATTGATGACAAAAGAAATGTAACAAAACGATTCGTTTCAAAAATAAAACAAAATATTACTAAGTTTTTTTCCGAAAAATTTCTGTGCTAATTGGTAATTATTTCTGAGCTGTTATAAAGATAATGTAGGGAAAAAGTAACAGTTACAAAAAAATACCTATAAAAGGCGTGAAGGAATAAAGTAAAGACTATGCTAATAGAAAAAATCAGCAAGGTATCGACGCGTAATCATCGAAAGTAAAGACAAGTATTAGTTAATAACAATGCTGTAAATAAGATAAACAATGAAAAGGATTTGAAAGATAAAAAATGTGTAACAATTCAATGTAACAGCGATTTTCAATAAATGAAATTATAGAATATGGAAACGAGAGCAAAAAATCAAAAAACAAAGTCCTGATGGAAATAAAATGATACCATTATTCTGTTTTCACTGAACAACTAGTTACTTATTCCCTATCTTAGAATCACATCATTCTAAAATTTTCGATCAAGTTAAAAATTCCTCATTTTATTTTTCCGTCCTTAGGATCTTTCTTTCGATACATATAATCACTAAGCGTTTTCAAAGAACTCATTCTAGATATCCTATCTAATGTTTTAGAAATTTTCAAATACCTTGGAATCGAAATGCAATAAACAGCATATTCCTCTTGAAAGCTTTTACAAAGGAAGCTTATATGACACAGTCTTTTTTTCCACCAATCCTATAACTAATGTTGGAGTTATGTGCGTACCATAAAACTAGTCATTCGTAGTACTATTCAAAATTTGGTTGAGACTATAATTATTCTCATCAGATATTTGTCCAATTATGATATTCAAAAAACCTAATCTGAAGAATCTAAATTAATGGAAAACATTATTATGCTGATATTAAATTTATTCCTTACTTTAATGATTACCATCAATCAATGATCACTCATGTAATAATATAATCAGCGCTTTAATGATAAAATTACAGTCATGGACAAAATTATGCAATAAAGCAAACACACAAGAATCAGTGACGTTCGACTTTTCTATCAGCCCTTCATTATAACAATAATGACGAATTTTAACGTGGAAGTGACAAGTTAATAAAAGTGTCAAGAAATGAATCGTCCAACAAAAAAAGCAATTAAACTAAGTTCCGGACCTCCATTTTTGGATTTTCGCTTCTATGTTTCTGATGATGGCAGCCTTGCCGGTTGTGGTAGAAATAAGCAGAGAAATAATTTTTTAGCTCAACTCTCTACCTACACAAAAAACTCCAAGTAATTCTCTATTTATCTCTCCAATTATCAAAAATCTGTGCTTTAAAGTTTAAGATTAAAGTAAATACATATGTACATACCAGTATATGTATATATACTAGTGATATAGTAATCCATATGAATTAACTTAACTTCGGCTTATTAACTAACTGGAACAGTTTGCTTTGGAAAAACTCACACTCACCAAAAGTCACATGTGGCAAAAATGTTTTCCCAATTATCATTACTTTTCTAGATTCCAAAATTCGCCATCGTAAGTTTATGATCTATGGTTTTATCTTTCATCAAGTGTAAATTATAAATTAATCGCTTGATGAAACCTTCAATTTACTAGCATTAATTGAATTCATTTTGTCATTAATATTTTCTCTACATCATTATTCGAAACAATAAAAAATTTACTCAAATGAAGCTGTCAAACAGTCAGTCCTAAACAAAAAAATGTTATACCTAATTATCTCTTTTAACCTCTTTCCTTACAATTTTTCTTTTTTCAACCGGAATCCTGAAACTATTCAAACATTTTGTGTCCCATCCGTTGCGATTAAGAGTGACGTTAGTGTAAAAACTCAGTCTTTTAAAAGGAGCGCACGTTGCCAATTATTTTTAATCATTTATTTTAATTCAGTCGCTACTGTCGGTAGTCAACCTAGCGAAATGAATTTTAATGGGAAAAAAATGTTCAAGTACATAATACTAAGTCATTCTGGAAAACTGTTTCAAAAAAATGATACCCATATTTCATATGATGAATTAGAAATCCGCCGATATAACACAGAAGTATCGAATTTTATCGAATCACAGCGTTTCCCGTCACAGACCTGCCACATCCTAACCGGATGTTTCAAACGTCAATGATTTTAAGTTGATTAGTTGATGCTGTTAGTAGAAAACTGAGTGGTTACAAAACAACAGTCACAAACAATTTGTCACATACGACAACATCTTTATATCTTTCCTTACTTTTGCATCACAGAACATTATGTTGAAACTTAATGAGGCGGGAATAAGACTGCCGCTCTTTTTGATGATCAAAATATTAGCAATATCACTAGTACTATGCAGTTAAACAACTCAACGTCCATTATTTGTAGTTCCTTAAAACGAATCAAAGCGTAATAGCTATTGAGAAAGATATTCGGTTAATCTGTTAAATTTCGCTTTCACCATCGAATCCCATAGGTATAATAAAAATTATATACTTCTCCACTTTAATTATTTGCCTTATATAACCTTATGGACAATAAAAAATTTTCCTGCTCTACACCATAAATTATACAGTGCAGAAAAGCACCTGAAACTGTGCTATTCTCTGAAATGGATATCACTCAACTTTATAGCAACGGTCCACTGAAATATATACATTAAATGAGGAACATTAAAACGCAAGATTGATATAGCTGATTCGACAATCTGAAATTATAGAAATACAAATGGAAAAGAAATGTCTTCTGTGGGAGAGAAAACTGGAAAAAGAAATACTATAAAATTCAGTAAATTGCTTTAGTTAAATTGAATAAAGTTTCTTGAACTTCTGGATGTAGAAGAAAACCAACTCTACAAAGCACTACTCGTCATTGTTCATCTTAAGTTCAATAATGTTGTGGTTATTACATGGTATCAAAATATGAATAACTTTTAGTGAATTCTTACTTTAACTCCAACAGATCACAACAAACTTATTTTAATACCATCCTTGCCGACCGTCATTGGAAGTCAAGAACATCATTCACGGGAAGGAAATTATTCGACACAAATTTGTAAGACCATTTTACTATTCCTCCTGATTATTGTTAGTGTATTAATTGTCTTGCATAGAATGCTTAAGTGATGTGTAGCAAAAATTCTTCGATTAAAGATTCAGTAACATAATATGGAATCTTCCAAAATGATAATTTGTTATAGCTTTCAATTATATTGTTTCATTCTAGAATTCAATTTATCTAACTGTTAAAACTATAGCATATTGACTTTTTGAATAAGATATACGAGACCTGTAATACATCACAACATACATACTTTAGAAACACGACTCATATCAACTTATGAGTCCAAAATTACTCACATGGTTTGAATCCACACATGACTTGATACAATAACAAAATAATCCCCTTTCTTCATCAAATACCTTACCCGTAGTAGCTTTCACAATATAAATATAAGAAAAAAACTACCTCAATAAATGCTCTTCTAACTATTATCTGAAAAAAATTCTTTCGATTAACACCTTAATTTCCGTTCAAAAAGCAAGGATAGATTTTCTAGCACCTCTAAACGTATATCACAGTATACCAAAACTAAAATGAATTTTAGAATGTTAAAATCATTATTCTCTTTCATAGTATACTGAAAGGGAAAATAAAGACTTTTGAACTCTATTACTATTCATCAATCAGTACTTGCAAATGTTGATCAGAATTGCAGGTAGCTATGGAGAGATTATGCAGGCATTTGATATGTGACTTTTATGAGTGAAATATGCTAAATTATAAGCCTGAAATCCCTAGCACGTTTTCATAAAAACTTACGAAATGATCCGAATTTTTTTTATTCCAAGATCGTCTACGGGCACGTCTATTGCGTGATTCATTCCGTCGATGTCGTTCCGAGCTGTTGCGTGGCCGTTTGTAACGACGATCAATACTACTAGAAGACCGTTCAATACGACGTCGCCGACCGCCACCCATTTCCAAGCAACACTTCGCTTACCGGTTCTCAAATCCTTGGAACGACAAATGTAACAGTACCCAACGCTGAAACTAAATTTTATTCCTTTGGTGACAGAAAGAGTATTGATTAAAAGTAAGGAACGTAACACAGTCACGAATAGTTACCATATTTTTTGAATTTGTCATCAACATAGCAAATATGACCTGTATTGGTCTTTTCAAAACTACTATGCAAATCTTTCGATCCTAGCAAGCAAACCATTTGTCTACGATTCCAATATGAGAATGGCTAAACTTTCCAACGTACTGTCCAACAAGATCAGACCTTCAGTATGATCTGGAAAATTATATTTCCTCTTAAAGTTTCCAATATAAAAATGTAGATTAAAATAATTTCGATGTCAGAAATATCTTGGTTATTCCTTGATAAAATAATTTTCATCACGAAGAAGAGCCAAACATGACATTGCTAACTGATACACCTAATTTTATCATAAATACTCCTAAATAAACAAAGTTTTTACTTACTTGATAATTCGGCAGTAGCACATACCGTCAGTGATAACCCTTAACCAGTTCATATACCTCTTGATAATGATCATGTATAAAATGATTAACAAAAAAGATTCCTCAAAATTTATACACTGACAATTTTTGCACATCTTTAAATGCTAAAATATCTAACGTATGCAGAATGCGTCAATTACGGATGAAGAAAGAAAAAACAAACGTAATACTAAATGTTCCGAAATTTCAAATTTAAATTTAAAAAAATTTCCGAAATTCAAAAGCTTGTGAAAGATCTGAAATAAAAGTACCACTTCACGCTCTGTCAACTGGCAAAGCCCCGCTATTCACTCCCTGCGGTCAAATCTGAAACCCCAACCTCGAAAGCACACACACATACATACACATACACACACATACACATACACATACACACATATACATATACGCACACATGTGCATATATGTTGCACATATGTATACACCGTACAGAACCAACTAGCCGGCCGCGCTTACGGTATCAGATTTCTCCAACAGAAATCCGAGCAGCTATTGCAGCATTATTTGATCATTATTTGACAAATATCATTCTATTATACTCTTAGACTTAAGTTGATCCGCAAATATCGCCTAATTATAATTTGCAAGATTTAATGCGGTGTATAAATACCGATCCGTTATATGATCACAACTGTAACCGTTAATATTATTGTCATTACGTTATTACAGCTTTCAAAATTCCAAAATATGGTGATTTTGAAGAACCGAAAATTGGTATTCCTTGCAGAATCAGGACGTGATAGTGCTCTAAGGAAATTTCTATTTTCCAATGATACGTGATATCTCTTAATGGTATTTTTTTATAAAGCAGCTACTGCTGTTTCTGTCCATTTCTCTCTGTCATTTATTATTTTACGATTTAATCATATGTTTTGGACTCTTATTGATATCTTTGTAAATAATTTGGCTAATTTATAATCATTAATAAATCCCATAAGACAGAAGAGATGATATCAGTTGACTTCATTCCCTTTTGATTTCATCAGTTTAAGTAACAAACTTTATAATTTCAAGTTGAAACTTTTTTGCAATTAGCTTTGAAGAAGTTTAGGCAAATGCAAAATAAGCGCGATCAACAATATCATCGGAAATGATGATGACAGGAAATGAATATCAAACGCCGGTTATCGATGTGTTATCATTCTGTATTATTGATTACATGTGAACGTTATGTATTTGTGAACGTGGATCGGAAAAGCAAGTGGTATTCAGATGCGTTAAAGACGGCAAATTTTTGATCACAAAAACTTGAAAGGGTTCAAGTAAAGTTGAAATGAGAATATTACTGAGATATTTCTTTTTTTCATGTTATAAAGCAACAAACATTATTGTTATTATCGACCTGTTCACATAAATCATAAATCAAAAACAAACAGATATACATCAACAGATAACAATATTTCGAAAACGTTATATTTGTTAAAAAAACCGGAGGCTCATTCTAAGATTCGGTGTTTTAACAGATGTTATTGAGGCGTGGATATCCTCTCGCAACGATTAAGCAACAAATGACACTTATATATTTACCGTTCGATTTCGTTGGATTTGTGGCACAAATGCTAACATCAAACCCGAAATCAGAAGTGCTACACCACAGAATACAAATGACATGTTGTAGGAACCAGTTAAGTCAGCTAGTTGTCCTGGAAAACATTTTTATTAATTTAAATGTAACCACTGAAATATATACATTTATTTATATTTCGTTCAACAAATATATTTCTTTCACTCTTTTTTCAATCAGATATATTTTAGAGTATGAAGAATAGTAATTAAAACGCAACTATGTCAAATGAATGGAAACTGTACTGCAGGGACAGAATTTATTTTAAAATTTCAAGTTAAAATTTATTTTAAATGCTCATTTTTCATGCCAAATTCTCCCACCGTTATATTATCCACCTGTCTTAACTTTATTCACCTAAATCACAAATCGAAAATAAACGTCAACAGATAACATTTCAAAAACGACATACAACTATTTCTTGAAAAATCGGAGACTCGTTCGAAGATTTAGTAATTCTAACGGAATATTAATTTTGATTTTAACAAACTATTAATTTTAAGATTCGGTAATTTTAATAAATTTTAACATGTTGCTACCTGATAGAAAAAATGGAGTCCAACATATAACTCTGAACAGGATAATAGAAGTATGCAAGGTTGAAAGTCATAGTAATTCAATAATTTTGAATCTTTTAAAATACTTACCAGATATGGGAGGTCCTATAATGGTGCCAACCCCTTGGAAGAGTAAAATTAAACCAAATGCGTTGGTCAATTTCTCAATACCAACTAAGTCGACAAGCAATACTGACGTAAGGCATACGTAAGATGATAACGTTAATCCAAATAAACCGGAATATACCTGCAGACGACGAGAATAAGCACTAACAGGAAAAAGCACTTATTACACTTATTATGAATGAGTACTTATCATGCTTCGATAAATGAATTACGAAAGCGCATGTAGTTAATTTAAGCTTTAATAATCATCTTTGCTCAGAACTTTATCATATTCCAATCATTATCTAAATTCGATGGCAACAACCACTATAGCTATTACAAGTAGTACCGTAAATCTGAAGAGAGCCTAAGTTTAATTATTTTTTCTCATCTCCTACATGGTTCAAAGAAGCGAAAAAGGCAATCAATTAAGTAACGTTAATCAATTAAAGTCAAGCAGTGCGAACTGAATTTCTCCAGGTCAAGTGATTCTAATTACCAATTGTTTCATGAAGTTATTCTATCACTGATTATTAGAACTCCGTCTCGGCACAGCGTTATTTTTGTTCATTCCGAAAAAACTTTGCAGTGAATGGATGAATTGATAAGCCTTTCAAACTTACAACCAATCCTATGTAGCTATGGTAAAAGAATACGCCGGTGGTTAACAAACCACATATACTTAACGATGATACGTAGATCCATAATCTATTTTGTGCCGTATTTTTCCCATATCTGCATGGTAATTTACGATCAGATAGTAATCCAACTAAAATTCGTCCAATTGTATTCATAACACCTGAAAGAATCACAAAATTTTGAATTTAATCAAAACACAACAATAATAAAATTTTCTATTCCATAATGTTAAAACATAAGTTCAAGCTTTCCATAGCAAAATTTAGCGACAATTTGCATTTACCGAATGCACTAATAACGCTTGCAGATTGTGCAGGAGTTAAACCAAGATTGGTTGCATGTGAGGGTAAGAAAACAAGTGGAGAATTAAATGCGATGCTTGTCAATAGATTTGAAATTGCATAGAGCAGAAATATTGAATTGGCAAGTAACGAGATATTCGTCATTTTCTCCACTGTCCTGAAAATGATAAAGATTTAGAGTAATTGTAATAATGTAAGCGGTTCCCTCCATATCTCTATTATCTATATTTCGGTATTTGTTCCGGAAATATTTATAATATAGTCGGAATGTTTTTCAAGAGATTTTTAGTCGATTAAATCATGACCTAATTGGGAATTAAAAAATGATCTTCTTGCCACTTTAAATTCCAAAGATATTCCGGAATTAGCAAATGATATAATTGGAATTTAGATAACAATAAAGGTTAAATAAAGGAGGACTAGAATTAGAACTAGTTCTAGAATTAGAACTCTCTGATTGCAAGATTTCCGGACATATCTTCGATGACTTATCTATATGTCACACACTTAATAGAGTTGAAAGGGGATTGAATCTGCTAAATACTACGGTGTTCTGTCCCCTACTTTTATATCGATACAACGTTTCGAGTAAAAATGGAATAACGACTATTTGAGGCACACCTCAAAATTTCTCCTGCTTTGTTAACTTTTTTCGCTTCTTCCCAATTCATCACCATCTCTTCTAAGCTTTTCAACTTATCATCCCTATTGAGTGATGTAAGCGATCGATGCCTTTCAACTTCTGGTAATTCGCTCATTGAATCTGTGTAGAACACGTCCTGAATAAAAAAACGGCTATATAATAGTTAACCTGAAACATTCTGTCGTCGTATATAGAGGACGAGAATCATCTTGTTGATAGCAAGGGTAACACCCTGTGTTCCTCTTATAATAGCAAGCAATAGAACAATCAGGGTATACAATGTTAGAATTTTTTAAAATATCATCAATGAGATGCAAAGTTAAGAAAAAATGAGACAGTAGCGCACTTTAGCAGTGATAAATCCTGTGGGTTCAGAAATTCTTCGACTTCCTTGACGTGAAATATCTCTTTCCAACGATTCTAATAGCTTCAATTTCCCATTCTTTCCTTCCATATCAATATTTTGATGGCTATGTGAAGAAAGCAATGTGGTTGATAATGGCGCATTTTCTTTATCCTGTTATAACAAAATGTTACATCACTAAAGTAGTCATTAGCAGTATTAAAGGTATTCTAAACAGCCTTTAGTAATAATGCAAACAGAAAAAAAAGATTAATTGATCTGCTACTTGGAAGCATTTCATAAACACTTGATACGGTAATGCGGTGTTAGAATACAAACAAGAGAGAAAAGAGGTGAAAATGAAGTTCTGATGCACCATTTCTATGGATCCATTTTTCTCATCTCCATTGAGGACTTTCTTCGTTCTCCTTTCATCTTCTACAGCAACAAATGTCAATGGTCGGAAAGTGGCACCACATAAGGAACACATTAGTATAATTACTGTAAAGTTTATTAATATCATTTTTGAACAAAAGAAATATCGAAAGTAATCAATAACAGCGAAAGAAGAAGAAAGAAACAAAAGTGAAATGAGCAAGAAATTGCATTTTTTGAATGGATAACGCAAAATTATTGAAAATGGGTACAACTCACCTCCATATACTGCAAAAACCGTTCTCCAGGAAGTTTTAATAAGTGCTTCACTGATCGGCGCAAACAGGACGGTACCAACGCCAGCGCCACATACTGCTATGCCAGTAGCCATAGCTCTGAAAAGCAAAAAAAAGAATTCAAACGGAATAGTTCCATTTCGGGGTTAAAAGGCAAGTAATATGTGGTAATTATTCATTGAAAGACTGAATAACTTATTCATCCAATTATATTTACTTAGTTATTAATTGATTAATCAATCAATCCCATTACAATTCAGTTGTAAAAGGGAAGAGATAGTAATTTATTCAACTTCAAATGAAGTAAACGAATCTTTTCTTTTCGAAATACATTGTAACAATGACAATAGCCGGACAATACATCAAACCGAATCCCAAACCCATCACACAACCAACTGAACCCATCAGATATTCCACTGAAGTTGCAAAATATGATGCAGCACAGCTGAAATGATACATAGCATATATTCTACTCTTCAACTATCATTCATTTATAAGATTCAATCTTTAAGAAATTATTACATCTTATCAATAGTCGGAAGTTTTGATATGGAAGAGTTCATTAAATTTCAGAAAGTATGCATAAGAAGATAAGAGAGAATGGAAATTAGTTTTGGGTCCTAAAGATGAAATAACTTTAAAATTTTGTGAGTCTTTGAATTTTCGTTCTCGCAATGAAAGCACAAAAAATTGCTGCGAGCGATGATATCACTGTAGAGATAGCGCATGCGAGAGAAAGTTGGCATCGTAGAGATATACTGGAAGATCGGATAAATAAAAGGACTCAGTTGGATAGTTGGACAGATGATGCTCTTGTTTAGAGGCAACAGTGAGTTGTTCCTTCGGTAATTTTAATCAGTAATAGAATCACTGTCACTCGCGAAATTTGTGTGTTGCTGCATGAATTACTACATATACAAAATAACACTGTCTTAATTAAGGTTCAACTTGCTGGATGAATAGAGGGAAGAATATTGAAAAACAAAACTATTTATCATCTTATTTTCCGAACAGAAATCCAATCACATTCTCCTCTCTACTTCGCCACTTGACACATAGCTTCCATCAAAAAAAAGATAAGATAACGGAAGAATAATTTATCAAAAAGATACCCAATTGCTGCAATCAGTGATCCTAGAATTGTTGTCACCCGACATCCAAATTTATTTGTTATTGCACTTGCTATAGGACCTACTCCAAGAGTTAAACCCGTTAATAATGAAATTATCACCGATGCTTTAGCATTGCTTGCACCAAATTCCTGAAAGTTACGTTAGATGCAGAAAAAGCTTCAAATTCGGCAATTTAAGAAACTGAATGATGTTCGATCCGAAATAATTCGAAAAAACGAGTTTCTTTTTCTGATACCATCGAAATGACTGAAGAAATAGAAAAGTATAGCTGGTTATGAAACTTATCATTATCAGTATTTTAAAAGTTTTAAGTTAAAACATTCAAAATTAAACCTTCATGATAATTTGGAGAAGAATGCCAAATGAATAAACGATACCATCGGCGAAAACATGGATGAAAAATGAGCCAAGAACAACGATCCATCCCCAGCCACCATCAACCACCGGGACATTACTTTCACCACTTCCTTTTTCCTTTTTAATCTTCATTACCACATTCTGAAAATGAATTTTTTTCAAAAATTTTCGAAATTTAACATGAAAATTTATCGAATTACTAAAGTTCCATTAAATTATTTCAGCCTTTCTGGCATAACAACTTCGTCTTCTGCATTTCTTTTTCCGTTTCTGATATTGATCTAACATTCATCACCGCGATCTTTTGTATCGAATATATTATTTGATTAATTTAGTCATGTATGCAAATTTTTTTTAATTTAATCCTAATGAGTGAAAAAAATGTCCTCAACTAAGTTGCTATTCTAAGGGCAAAGGTTGAAGGTGAAAAGTAAGAATAACATGGGCCACCAAGAGGAAGGAAGAAAGAAATTTTTTTTGGGAATATTTGAACGAAGAAATAAAAGACGGGAATGAATGGAATAAATAATAGACTTTTTCCTATGACCTTTTTCCAATCGTTTTTGTTTTTGTTTTAGTGCATCATTTGTAACATTTTAATTGCTAATATTACATTCATAATTGATAGAATAAAATTATCACAAATGTTAATTATATGATAAAAATATCAAACTGACAGACACTTATTTAAACTTAAAGATTTAAATAATTTTAAAAAAAGCACAAAGTAAATATATGTATGTGTTAGCTAAGCTAAAAAATGTTCAATCAAAAGATTGCTTAAATAGTTTTGAAAACTAAATTATGAGCTTGTGGTACCACAAGTACCATCGAAAGATACATACATCTGAGATGTATTAAAAAGATGAGAAATTGAATGTGAACAGTAGTTCAACAATGAAGAAAGTATGCAATATCAAAATGTAAGAATGAAAAGACAGTCATTTTTCCCTTCTTATTTACTTTTCTCTTTTGCGACACTGAAAATTACTTTTCCTTTCTTTTGATTTTTCTTTACTTTTTATTGAAATGTTCTGATAAGTACATTATTTCTAACTTATTGAAAGCAAATATCAATGATATAATTACAATTTGGAGATTGAAATTGATGAAAAAGTTGAAAATTTGAAATATAAATGAAATTTCTTAAATGATCAAAAAGATTAGATATATTGTTTAATTAGTAAGCGTTGATAAATTGCAAACAGAATGACAGCTGTTGTATGATAGTTCGAGAATAGTTTCGGGGCATCTGATATAACTCGTCATTTTCTTCAAACTAATCAATATATTATTTAAGCAATGAAGATTTTCATGTGATATATCAAATTTCTGCATTTTTTTTTACATTACATTCCTTTTGTTTAGATTAAAATTACAATGAAAAGATAAACCTGTAGGCAAAAATAGAAGTAAAATTTTTATACCAAAAAATGAATGCAGAAAAATAAAGACAATAAGACACTGATTGTACGATCAATAAAATATCTCTTTAATGTTTCATTGCATCTGGCGCTACCTGAAGAATTATTCTATAACACGATGATTAGATCAGGAAGAGATTCGTATGGTATTATAGCGTTATTATATATAACCAGACCGGTCTATGAGATGTGATGGCCAATTGACGGATAATTGTAAGCGGTCTCCGGTACATGCGGAAAGGATAGGATAACAACATTTAGATGGAACGTTCCATGGAAATGGGAAAATGATTCGTTTGAGAATTATGCATTAAATATTGGTGGTTGTTTTAAGTAGTGAAGTGGTTGAAATATGAGAGTTTAAAAATTAAACTGCACAGAAATTGAAAAGTCGCAAAGACAAAAATGAAATTAATTTCTTTTTTTAAAAAAGGAAAAAGATAGAAATGGAAAACAATTTCTATAATTATCATCCAATATTCTAATCAATTTATCTGAAGAAAATTAGATTCTATACTTTGGAAGATGAAAATGAGACTATCTAAGTTAGAATATAAATCCGATATTAATGAAAAGAACAACTATATGTGTACTTAAAATATGAGATAGCAAAAAGGGACCCGAAAATTGGAAAGTTCATAGCTTCCTGAGAAGTGATGAACCGAGAACGTAGTAATTTCAAAAGTTTTTTCTTTAATGTTCCGACATCGAACTGCGCGATTCTAAATTTCGAAGCTTTTATAGTAACAATTAGTCATTCTAAGAGGAGCATTTGCTGAATAACAAATAGCATGTAATCCATTTCCTGAATACTAAATAGCATGTAATCCATTTCCTGATTAATAAGTAACATGTAATCCATTTCCAGCAGAACGTTCTGTCATTTTGGAGAAATAACTATCCTAACTAAAGAGAATTGCTTGCTTATCATAAAATGAAGGGACATGAATGCATGATAAACAAATTTATGCTAACAGTAACAGAATGATAATAACGTTTAATATTAAATAATTTAAAAGAATAGAAGGAAAAGAAGCAATCACACATACACATACACACACATATATATATATACATACATATATACATGCACACATACGCACACACACACACATATACACATATGTATACGTATGCAGTTAATAGTCCTTTGAATGAAACAAGAAAATAAAAGGTTAGAAAGGAAATTACATCCAATATGAAGGCCTGAAATGATTCCGAAAAATTAGCGATTACGTTTTAGAGCTAAGTTATAGAATTTTAAATTTTTTAGATTTTAATTTTTCCGAAATGAAACTAATCAATCATATAATAGATTAAAAGTGAAGCAAAGAAAAGGGTAGATAATATGGATATATATTGACGATGAAGAGATGCAGGCAATAAAGTGATGAGGAGAAAAAAATTAGAAGCGAATGAGAACTAAATTTGAAACTATGATCAGAATGGAAGTTAAATGAATGAATGAGCGCAGTTGGCTTGGATCATTTGTCGCCTCTTCTAATATATAACCAACATTGCATCATCTCACCTCACCACTGATCGTTTCGCCGAAATGATTGTTCGACTTAACAATGACTGGTAGAGATTTGCCCAAAAATGATTACTCCCTCCTTTCTCTCATATCTTTCCGAATGTGACCGTCTCACACAATCAATCATTTCGGAATAACGTTATCAACGAGACGACAAATTAATTGAAAGGCTGCAAATCAGCAGGCAGACATAATTTTGGACAAAGCATAAGGAAAAGATGCCAGGAAGCTCTCTCATGAACCTTTTCCTCCTGGTCTAGTGCTTTTCCGATTTGTGGATAACACCGCGATATGTAAACACGTGCATTTTCACATGTAAGGATATATTAGCTGTTTGCTGGAAGTAGCATTTCTGAAATTTTCCCCCTCAGAAAACGTGGACGTGGGTTCTTCCTCGCCTGTTTCTTAGATTCTTCGTTCCAAATGTAGATGAAGCTAGTTCTACCGTAATTTCTAACATTCTATTTCATAATTCGTAATCGTTTTAGTCGGCTATTTTCCACGATATTCGCCAAAATAAAATGATTTCACAAATATTTCTCTACCTCTCTTGTTGTTGGATACATGTTTAGCTGTTCTCGTGAACATCTAGCAATTCAAAGGATGGAAAATTACTTCTGGTAGAAATGCAGGAAATATCGTAGTAGCTTTTAACTGTTGAATTCATGTGCACGATATTTTTGAATAGCCAAAATAAAATGATTTCAGAAATATTATATTTTTGAATATCGTGCACATGAACTCACATCAGTGTTTACAGGTGGTCTTTTACCCGAACCATATATGATTCGCGTGAATTTTCCTATTCCATTAGAAGGTTCATTTGGAGCAAATTTCTTCTCAGCCATCCCCACAACCTTCGTTATTTGGTGAGACCGAAAAACTAAAGGTTTGACTAAATAGGCTTGTAATTTTGGATTTTTGATTTGGTGACTAAATAGGCATGTAAATTTTAGGTATATCATTAATTAAATTAGCTTTGACATATTTTCTAACTAAATAAATGCTTCAATACTTCAGTAATTCAAAGGAAAAAATTTGGAAAAAAAGCATTATTTTTTGCATCTTATCTTTGCCGTCAAATGGCTTTACAATATGTTAAAGAAAAGCTGAATGTTTAAATCGGTAAAAAAGGATTGAATTAGTATTGGAAATTTAAAAAGAGTAATAGTTAAATTCCGAAACCAGCTATGATTTTCGAATGAATCTTCTGATGATGGTTTGAAGTAATTAAAGTGAGCCTTGCCAACTTTGTCAAACTTATAAAAAACTGACAAAGTTCATTTTTATTGTTAAACTTGTACAAAAGGATATAATCAAAACAATCGATATGACGAAATGAACTAAGTATGTAGGACGCACGTCTACCGCAAGGCTAGGCTAGACAAATTAATCGAATTTTAGTAAAAAAATCAGATGTAGACTATAAGATATGAAATAGTTGAAGGCCTTAATGAAGGCAATTAGATCATAAAGTAATAACATCGACCGTTATACAGGTCAACAATCGTAACTACAATTAATAGAAATAATGTGATTAGTTTACTATAATGTAGTGGAGGATAATTTGTTTTAAATAACCTTTTTCCAAAGGAATAGAATAGAAATTATTCATGTCCGAGGAAGAGAACGAAATATACAGCTATTTATTGATAAGATGATAATGAAGTGCTGCAAAATTTGGAAGACATTTTTTCTTTTTTAAAGATGCGTGCGATTGCTTATCGCAGATATGAATAATATCATCGAGAGATTAAGGAAGGAAGGATAGGATAACGAAGTTGAAATGATGGAAATGAAATTGAAAGAGAACAATTTGTGTTAATTGCGCTTGTCAAATTCGGATGAGTGTTAAGTGATAATTTAGGATTACGTGTAATCTGACGATTGGTTCTTGAACGATTGTATTAATGGAAAAATGCAAATTCAGATTTGATAAGAATTCAATAAAATAGTGTCACTTTTTCTTTTTCCTTTTATTGTTTCCGTTATTTCAATTGATATTTTTTCTCCCATCATTTCTATGATTCAGTGAGCAAAATTAACAATAAGGCAGACTGATTATAGAAAAAATATAAAATTTATGCAGGAGGAGATTGGGAGATTAATTTTGGTGGCTATCACCGATTGCCGCATACAAATTTTGCTATGTGCTATGAAAATACCTAATGATA